AGCATTAACCATAGTGCCATTATCTACCAGTCTGAGCTTTAGAAACAATGGTGCAGCTGGTTTATATCTTTATGTGTTTTAGACGGCTCATATTTATACTGTAACTGGACCTTGAGTATGTAATAAAGTATCTATCTATCTATCTATCTATCTATCTATCTATCTATCTATCTATCTATCTATCTATCTATCTATCTATCTATCTATCTATCTATCTATCTATCTATCTATCTATCTATCTATCTATCTATCTATCTATCTATCATCTATTTATTGTCGTCATCTTCCTCCGCTTATCCGGGTCGCGGGGGCAGCATCCCAACTAGGGAGCTCCAGACCGTCCTCTCCCCGGCCACCTCCACCAGCTCCTCCGGCAGGACCCCAAGGCGTTCCCGAACCAGATTGGAGATATAACCTCTCCAACGTGTCCTGGGTTGACCCGGGGGCCTCCTGCCGGCAGGACATGCCCGAAACACATCCCCAGGGAGGCGTCCAGGAGGCATCCTGGACGCCTCCCTGGGGAGGCATCCTGACCAGATGCCCAAACCACCTCAACTGACTCCTTTCGATCCGGAGGAGTAGCGGTTCTACTCCGAGTCCCTCCCGAATGTCCGAGCTCCTCACCCTATCTCTAAGGCTGAGCCCGGCCACCCTACGGAGGAAACTCATTTCGACCGCTTGTATCCGCGATCTCGTTCTTTCGGTCATTACCCAAAGCTCATGACCATAGGTGAGGATTGGGACATAGACCGACCGGTAAACCGAGAGCCTGGCTTTCTGGCTCAGCCCCCTCTTCACCATGACAGATCAGCTCAGCGTCCGCATCACTGCAGATGCTGAACCGATCCGCCTGTCGATCTCCCGAGCCCTCCTACCCTCACTCGTGAACAAGACCCCGAGATACTTAAACTCCTCCACTTGAGGTAGGACCTCTCCCCCGACCCGGAGTTGGAATTCCACCCTTTTCTGGTCGAGAACCATGGTCTCAGATTTGGAGGTGCTGATCCTCATCCCAGCCGCTTCACACTCGGCCGCGAACCTACCCAGCAAGAACTGAAGGTCAGAGCTGGATAAAGCTAGGAGGACCACATCATCCGCAAAAAGCAGAGACGAGATTCTCCTGCCACCAAACTCGACACACTCCACACCACGGCTGTGCCTAGAAATTCGGTCCATAAAGGTAATGAACAGAACCGGTGACAAAGGGCAGCCCTGGTGGAGTCCAACCCTCACCGGGAACAGGTCCGACTTACTACCAGCTATGCGGACCAAACTCACACTCCTCTGGTAAAGGGACTGAATGACCCTTAACAGAAAGCCACCCACCCAACACTCCTGGAGCGTCCCCCACAGGGTGCCCCTGGGGACACGGTCATAAGCCTTCTCCAAATCCACAAAACACATGTAGATTGGTTGGGCAAACTCCCATGCCCCTTCCATCACCCTTGCAAGGGTATAGAGCTGGTCCACAGTTCCATGGCCAGGACGAAAACCACATTGCTCCTCCTCAATCTGAGATTCAACTATCGATCAGACCCTCCTCTCCAGTACCTTGGAGTAGACCTTTCCAGGGAGGCTGAGGAGTGTGATCCCCCTATAGTTGGAACACATCCTCAGGTCACCCTTCTTAAAAATGGGGACCACCACCCCGGTCTGCCACTCCACAGGAACTGCCCCCGATGACCACGCAATGTTGCAGAGACATGTCAATCACAACAGCCCTACAACATCCATAGCCTTGAGATACCCAGGACGAATCTCATCCGCCCCTGGGGCTCCGCCACTGTGTAGTTGTTTGACTACCTCAGCAACTTCTGCCCCCGAGATTGGACAGTCCATCCCCAGGTCTCCCAGCTCTGGTTCATCCTCGGAATGCGCATTGGTGGGATTGAGGAGCTCCTCAAAGTGTTCCTTCCATCGTCCGACTATAGCCCCAGTTGACGTCAGCAGCTCCCCATCCCCACTGTAAAGTGTGAGTGAGTTGCTGCCTTCCTCTCCTGAGGCACCGGACAGTTTGCCAGAACCTCTTTGGAGCCGATCGATAGTCTTTCTCCGTGGCCTCACCAAACTCCTCCCACGCCCGAGATTTTGCCTCGGCAACTGCCACTGCTGCACCCCGCTTGGCTATCCGGTACCTGTCTGCTGCCTCCGGAAACCCACAGATCAGCCACACCCTGTAGGCCTCCTTCTTCAGCCTGATGGCTCCCCAAACCTCTGGTGTCCACCAACGGGTACGGGAGTTGCCACCACGACTGGCACCGGCTACCTTGCAACCACAGCTAGCAACAGCCGCCTCAACAATCGCAGAGTGGAACAAGGCCCACTCGGAGTCAATGTCCCCCACTGCTCTTGGGATGCGGTCAAAGCTCTGCCGGAGGTTGGAGTTCAAGACCATCTTGACAGGTTCTTCTTTCAGGCGTTCCCAGCAGACCCTCACTATGCGTTTGGGTCTGCCAGGTCTACGCGGCATCTTCCCCTGCCATCTGATCCAACTCACCACTAGGTGGTGATCAGTTGACAGCTCCGCTCCTCTCTTCACTCGAGTGTCCAAAACATACGGCCGCAGGTCAGATGATACGATTACAAAGTCTATCATCGACCTGCGACCTAGACTGCCCTGGTACCAAGTGTACCGATGGGCATACTTATGTTCGAACATGGTGTTCGTTATAGCCAAACTGCGGCTTGCACAGAAGTCCAATAACGAAACACCACTCGAGTTCAGATCAGGTGGGCCGTTCCTCCCAATCACACTCCTCCAGGTCAAGCTGTCATTGCCCACGTGAGCATTGAAGTCCCCCAGCAGGACAATGGAATCCCCTGACGGAGCACTATCTAGCACTCGTCCCAGGGACTCCAAAAAGGGTGGGTACTCTGAACTGATATTTGGCCCATAAGCACAAACAACAGTAAGGACCCGTTCCCCGACCCGAAGGCGCAGGGAAGCTACCCTCTCGTCCCCGGGGTAAACCCCAACACACAGGCAGAGAGTCTTGGGGCTAACAAAAAGCCAACCCCAGCCTTCTGCCTCTCACCCAGAGCAAGAGTGTCCACCCCCTCTCAAGGACTTGGGTTCCAGAGCCAATGCTATGTGTCGAGGTGTGTCCGACTATATCTAGCCGGTACTGTTCAGCCTTAGCCGGTACTGCTCAACCTCTGCCACAAGCTCCTGCTCCTGCTCCTTCCCCGCCAGCGAGGTGATGTTCCATGTCCCAAAAAAACAGTTTCCTTGTCCAGGGATCGGACCGCCAAGGCTCCCACCTCGGTCTGCCACCCAATCCACACTGCACCGGACCCTTCCTGTTCCTCCTGCGGGTGGTGGGTCCACAGTTGGATGAGCCCATGTATCCGGTTTGGGCTGGTCTGGCCGGGCCCCATGGGCGAAAGCCCGGCCACCAGGCACTCGCTCACGGGCCCCAACCCCAGGCCTGGCTCCAGGGTGGGACACCGGTAACCCTCCGGGCCGGGTACTCCGACTCTTTGAATTTACATTCATGAAATTCTATCTATTGTATATCTATAATTAAAATGTTATCTAGAAGTGGACCAAATCTTTTCATCCACAATATTACCAGTAATTCTCTCCTGTCCAGAGGGAAAACAAAGTTATCATGTAAAGGTAAATTCGTGATTTTATTTCTTCCCTTGGAGGATTAAGCCTGATATATACTTCTCCGTCAGCTCGAGTGTGGAGTCGCTCACACGCGTTGACAGAGATCTTTTCTCCTCAGACTTCTACTTCACCTGGGGAGTGTTGAAAAGAAGTTTCACGCCAGGACAACAGAGGGCGTAGTGCTTTTCTGGGGTATCCTGTCACCAGTACACCAGTCACATATTCGGTCCACAATAGTGCATTTACTAATGTGTTTATATTGTTTTCATGTACTTTAGAGACTTTATAACACAGACAAGTTTGTCCTTCATTCTCCTCCCCCTCTTCATGTGATTGGCACCTCTAAACCCACGTTTCCTGTCATTACACTAATAAAATACTTCTCCGTACCTTCGTACTCTTTCAGTCACGGGTGATTAAATGTTCAAATTTTTGACTTCTTTTACTTTCTTCAATCTGTTCTGTCTGCCGCTATTTTATTTATTTTTTTCACTTGTTGCAAGGCAACAGCGGTGCTGTTGTTGAATTTAAAGGAAGCAGTGTCCTGTCCAATCACAAGCTTGCAGTCTCAGTCATCCTCTGTGAGCCTGTGGGAGAGCCCTGGCACCAACGCATGTCGTTGCATGTCTTCTAGTCCGTACTGACACAAACAGAAAATATAAATCAGCCTTTCCACTCACGTGGGTCATGCAACACAGCGTTATTAAGGCAAACATGGTTGGAATCTCCCAGTATTCACTCATATCAGCAAGCATATGCTTTTGAGGTATTTTGGCCACTGCAGCTCTGTATGTCTTTACTGATTACACGAGGAAGGGTTTGGCGCATCTCTCCACACTAAGGGTAAACAGAATTTCATTGGCAGCTATTGTAAAAGGTTTCACTAAAACACAAACAAAAGTCTCTAAATATTTAAAAACCACAAAGTCAAATGCAAAGTTGACACTGACCAACAGGTTTCCTGTGATGACCCATTAGAAACAGAGCAAGATACCGGTAGCTGCACCTGTGAACTCTAGGATTACACTGGTTGAATAGTTATATCAATATGGACGTTACTGAGTCATCTTGTTCCTTGTTCCATAGATATTTTTAAAATGTCGATACAACACCCAGCCTTATTACGGCCTTACCATTCTGAGTAAAACTAACTAAATAAAGAAAAAAGACTCAAAAACAAATCTGTTGCTGGGTTTATTACTTTAAAGTGTCTCAATAAAAATATTGTAAATAAATGTTGATAAATTTAAAAACCAGTATTCAATTTGATATGAAGTGTACTCACCAACATAAGAAAATGTGCAAGAATTACATAATTTAACTGTAATTGTGTAACTGTAACATGTAATTTCAAATATTTTAATTTGTACAAAAGAGTTGTTTTTACCTGTCAGTAAATGTTTGCTGGGTCTGAGCTGAGAGGGATGTACTGGTGAAAGGAGGCTGACGCTGAATCCGGTAGAGCAGAGGCTGGCAGCCGGAGCAAAAAGAGCTACCAGGACCAGAAGACAACATGACTGCATCAATTTCCATTTTGTCATCAAAGGTGCAGAGTTTGACAGCAGCTATGGCCACTTTGTGAGTGTCAAGATGAATGGTGAGGGGCATGTCACAGAAAACATGCTGTGGTCCAAGGCTGATGCTTTTCTCCTCCTCTGTTATCAGCTCGATATTGGCTAAAGCTGGATTCTCTGAAAGATGTAAATTTGATTAAGATAATTTGGTTCAAGTCAGAGCTACATACCATATCTTATCAATTTTATACTTGAAGCACAGTGGCAAGCAAAGTGAGCGCAGAAGCACAACTGTTGCAGTACATCATATTTATGTTTCAGCATGTCTTGGCTAAAAATCAATGCAGTGAGTTGCTGAAAACATTTGAGTTATTTCAGATATTCATGACTGATAGCCTATATCTGGTCTCAGCAGAGAAATCTCCAAGCACATGTTTGTGCACGGCCATCGTTAAGTTTCATAGGCTTGGCCATTAGTACGCTTGTATGGCTCTGAGCATTTTCTTTCCTTGCCTCACCACCACACATGGTTTCAGTCTCTCAGCAATGTATTATTATTAATATTTCAGCAACTGGTAGTTTCTAACTTTTATCGGGCACACCAGACCTCTCACATACCACTGAAACTGATAAACAAATTTATTATAGAACTGACACTTACTTGATGAGATGTAGGTTACCCAGAGCGTAAGTGTGTGAGGAATGACAGGGTGCAGGAATCTCAGCGTGAGGGTGCAGCCCTCCGTGTCAGGGCACGGTGACGTCACATTAGTGTCGTAGAGACTGAGCTCCGGGACTCCAGGCCTGGAGACTGGGTTCACAGGGTTGCTCCACATCAGGCGGCCCTGCATTCCACAAAACCAATATGAACACACATGCACCCTGTGTATAAAGTACTCTCAATGACTTCTCCATTCTACACATAATTCTACTGAAATTATGGGATGTGAAAAATGATCAGTGAAGTGATTTCTCTAACACAGCCATTCATCTTGGTACCTACTGTGGCTTTTCAAATGAAAGAAATTGTTCAAATATTTTGGGGTTCTGAAGAAAGTTTATGAACATCCTGTTTGGAGGAATGTATATTCAATTCAGTTTATTTTTATAGCGCCAAATCACAACAAGAGTCGCCTCAAGGTACTTCACAAAGTAAACACTCCAAAAAAGTTCAGTTCATTAAGCCAATCAGAAAAAGTTTCCTTTATAACGAGCAGATTGCATCGAGTCACTGAGGCCCTGTCCACACGTAGCCGGGGATCTGCCAAAACGTAGATATTTTTCTATGTTTTGGCCTGTCATCCACACGAAAACGGAGTTTTTTCACACGAAAACGGATCTTTTTAAAAACTCCGGCCAAAGTGAAGATCTGCGTTTTCTCCGTTTTGGGTGTCTGCGTGTGGACAGACAAAACCGGAGTTTTAAGGTCTGCAACGTCACTTTCTGCGACAAAAAATGCTGACATCACGTGTGCGACCTGTGTTTACACTAGCCGACAGCATGGATGCCCTCAGAGCTGCGCTCGCTTTATCAATTGTCCAAGCGCTTTTTGCTTGTTTGATTTTGCAAGCAGAATTACTGCTCCTTGTGAAAGACCACAGACGAAGGACGAGGTTAAGAACGGGGGACGTACTGCCGCCTACAGGTCTGGCATGTCCTTAACAACGTATTTATCCGGGTACGTGTGGACAGAGTTTTTTTTTTTTAACGAGGTGGTGTGAATGCAAGTTTTTGGAGGGGCGGATATTCGTTTAAAAAAAAAAACCCGGCTACGTGTGGACTAGGCCTGAATAGAGTCAATGTCTTTACAGCAATCCTCATACTAAGCAAGCATATAGCGACATTGGAGAGGAAAACTCCCTTTTAACAGGAAGAAACCTCCAGAGGATCCTGGCTCCATATAAAACAGCCCATCCTCCACGACTCACTGGGGATCTCTGACCAGACAGACAAGCTAATGGCTGGTGTGAGTGAGACAAATTAAAAAGAGGATTTCCATCATGAAAAAATATCTCTAATTTGATGGTGGTTCATATGAATGCTAAACTTTAAATATGTACACTATCATCAGTTAAACTTTAAGTGTCAAAGGGTAGCTGCTATTTTCTACTGCTATGCGTTAGGGTTGGGCGATATGTAAACATTTTCCAAGCATTATTTGTCAGTCCAAAAACTTGACAATGGGTGATATATTCCAGCAGGAGATGTTTACATGTTCTATGGGCCTGACACGATGCACGGAGCACTCTACCAATCATAATCATTCTTACTAAGTTTGCAGAAACAAGACACAAGTGTTCCACAAGAGACTTATGGCGCTTACACATTAGGGTCAGTACAGTCAGCTACGGGACTGCAATTTGCTTTCACACCTGGGTCATATATGAGTTTTCAGTTCTGAGGCCACTCTTTTTTTTCAGGACCTTCTCCCCAGAGGTCCAACTGGGACCGAGGTGACACTATGGACTGATTGGCCGGCTGAAATTCATGCCTAATGACTCGGTTTGGCAAGGATAATCAGCCAGCAGGGGGTGTCCCACATGCGCAATTCATTTTCATGCTGGATGCTGTTGAGTAAACCTCTGTCTGCAGCACAGACCTGCCGCTCAGTGGGAATGGGAAAAAGAGGGAGAGCTGTGAGTGTGTGTGTGTGTGTGTGTGTGTGTGTGTGTGTGGTGTGTGTGTGTGTGTGTGTGTGTGTGTGTTGTGTGTGTGTGTGTGTGTGTGTGTGTGTGTGTGTGTGTGTGTGTGTGTGTGTGTGTGTGTGTGTGTGTGTGCTGTGTTGTGTGTGTGTGCGTGCGTGTGTGTAGCCCCTTTCCTCGGAACAGCGAACTCTGCGCTCCCCAGTGAGCCGGCAGACAGCTGCTCAAGTGGAAAAGAGAGAGAGAGAGAGAGAGAGAGAGAGAGAGAGAGAGAGAGAGAGAGAGAGAGAGAGAGAGAGAGAGAGAGAGAGAGAGAGAGAGAGAGAGAGGAGAGAGAGAGAGAGAGAGAGAGAGAGAGAGAGAAGAGAGAGAGAGAGAGAGAGAGAGAGAGAGAGAGAGAGAGAGAGAGAGAGAGAGAGAGAGAGAGAGAGAGAGAGAGAGAGAGAGAGAGAGAGAGAGAGAGAGAGAGAGAGAGTATGGCCCGCAGCAGTGGAGGGCAGAATTTTTTGAGGACACACACAGCAAATTAATAAAATGTTGTGGTTTAGAGTATCCAAAAGCAACACAGCTCATGCCCGCCTTTGTTTATCTTATTATGGAGGACACTACGGACCTTCTCACATATCTTAAACACCGCCCGCCACGGGCTCAGGGATTTCCACATTTCTGAGAAGTCCTTCAGAAATACATGTGAACGCTACACTGCCTGAACTTACGCTGTCCTCCCCTGATGGTACAGACCCTAATGTGTAAGCGCCATTAGGTGTTTTCTCAATGTCATTGGCTATTTGAGGCTTCAATCAACAACAAACTGCACTGCAGTTGGTTCACGCTACATACGTGATAATAGAAAGAATCAAGGAGGTACTTCTGACCTGTCAGCCAATTGCTGATGATTTTTTCCCAGCAGATGGGGGTAAACCTTCACCTCTTGGTGCGGGAAGATGTTTATCAAAAGTTTGAAGCCAAAATGTGGACACTATCGAGGATTATGAAAGACACATCTGAAGGAACTTTTTATTGTTGCATGCATGGTGAGTACAGTTGTTAGCACTGTTGCCTCGCAGCACAAAGGTTGCAGGTCAGAAACTCGGCTGCAGCCTTTCTGCGTGGAGTTGCGTGTTCTCCCCATGCCTGCGTGGGTTTCCTCCCGGGTACTCCGGTTTCCCCCACAGATCACAACATGCCCTATAGGTTATAAATTGTAAGTCGCTTTGGATAAAAGCGTCTGCTAAATAAATAAAACATAAACATTGTTTTCTGTAGTTTGTTAAATTGTGAACACAAGACTTGATTGTGACCAACAATTTTTATGGAGTACTTTTATTGGACAAGACCATTCTTGTTGTAAATGACTCAATTCTGGTCTTTAAGGCTTCAAATGGTGAGTTAGACATTATTTTGAATTTCCAAGTGGTTTGACAAAAGCGTTTACTGTGTCCACTAGCATGGTCGAATCCTTGATTGCCATATAACATTGGAATCAAAAGAATCCTAACTTTCAAATGATGTGTAATATTTATATTTACAAAGAACAAGTGTTGCAAAAAAAGACATAGAAGTTTGCATTTTTCCATCTGCAAGACAAATTCATAGGCATAAAAACAGTCACTCAAAAAAAAATTTTTTTTTAAAGATCGATGAAGGGCTTGGACAAATTTTTTAAAAGATTGATGAAGGGCTTGGTCAATCGCTGATTCATGCATCCATTTGTTGCCTCTGGAAATGGTCTGTTTTTCCATCTACAGGTCACCCTCTTCAGTATCGGGTCACATGGAGACATAAGTCTTAACTGGGGCTTTAATCTACAAGAAAGATACTGTGCTTACCCAAGGTCCCTCGCAAGCTCACTCTTATCTAAGACTGCTTTGCTTCACAGAACAGGACGGATGAAACTTTCATAATTAAATCATATAATGAACAAGATGAGTAAATAATCATATGGTTGAATGAACAATAATGGTTGAAGAATAATAACAATGTTTTGATTAATCTGTGCTTAAATTACTGAGGTTGAAATGAATATTATCATGTTATGATCAGTAAAGTTAGATTTAACAAGTAAATCACTATCTACTGACAGCTCACACACTCAGACACGTGACGATTGACATGGTTAAACTAATATCATGACACATTGCTTTCTGTTCCACAAATCAGAACTCCTGTTTCTGACGCAAGGTGTTTTCTGAGGTTTGTTGGTAAAACCCTTTTTACATGTCAAATTCTTGTTAGTAAATCAAAATACGACAATTGTTAAAACAGAGCTTACTTCACCGTGAGTCAGTTCTTGAGAAAGCTTCGGACCGGCCATCCGGAGCAAACCCTCTTTAACCCAGAGCATCTTTTGACAAGCTGTCAAAAACCTGTTGCACGCTGCAGCTGACTGCAAACGGTTCCTTCAGAATAAAGCTGGACCACCTTCGACTCCTTAAGAGTCCTTTCATAGACGCAAATAACTACCTGTTGTGACCTGGAGACATCCCGAGACAGGTCTAGTGGCACTGCGGTTGCTTCTACGGACTTTGGTACCTTTGGGGTCTACGGACTTCCTGACATTCCAGATCTACCACGGGGTTCTTCGAGCTGGTATGTAGACTCGGCACATTGCGTCTGATGTGGTTTTATAAACCATCAACTTCTAGTTAATAGAAGACCAAATTCACTGCCACTCAGAACTCAGTTTCTTCAGATACGAAGGTTCTGATAACATCACATTCACACAACAGAGCACTTCACATTCCATCCACTTAGATTCATTCATCACATAAAGTGTTCCTAGTTGTCATGTTTTTAATTGTTTAGAAAATTAATTTCTTACTTTTTATAAACTCGACTCTCTTCTTGAATTAATACGAAGTGTCTGACAATCCCTGAAGAAACAAACAATTCTAAATCTTCTGGTTAAACATTTAAAGACCAATCAGACTGGATTTCCATATTTATATAGAAATTCACATCATATTGGTCAAATGTAGTTTAGTATACTGACTTTAAAAAAGCACCCAAAATAAATACGTATGCTACTCCTACACATTCATCCATCCATTTTCAGCACCTTATCCGAACATGTGGAGGTAACAAACACCCAGGCATGTCTCTCCTCCTGGGTTCTCTCCCAATAGATTTCCAGAGAGGATATGGAATACCTCCAACAAGCCATAACTCTGTCCTGAGGTCTTGCCATTGGGATCAGACGCTTG